GTATCTCCCACGTTCCTTGTTATTTATTTCCCCAACGATTCTCCCCTTCTGCATCCTGGTGCCTGACTGAGGGTGGGTGCTCCCTGCAGGCAGGTTGAAGAAATGAAGTTCGCACGAAAGGGGCTCTGGCCCCGAGCTTGGCCACGGTGGGCCCAGAAGGTCCTTGATTGAGTCCTCCTCTGTGCTCAGGGGCCGCTTGCCTCTGTCCCAAGCCTGTGTCATTAAATGTGGCCTCCTTTGAGTAGACCTCTTCCCCCCGCCCCTTCCCCGGGACAGAGAGATACCCAATTGTCCTTTTCTTGTTCACAGGGGGTGGGGCATTTTGGTTCAGTAAAATTTACTCCAGCTGCCTCACCCCTAATTTAAAAAGAAAGAGGTGAGAAATCAATCCCAAATTTCCCGTGTAAGTCTGAGAGCTGGCCAATGTGAGCGGCTTTGTCAGGGAGAAGGGGGGGTAGGAGAAGAGGTGGTCTTCGTTGCCTCCCAGCTTCAGCCAGGCCTTTCCCACGGTCAACTCACTCCGGCTGCCGACAGCTCTCTGGGAGCTCGCTGCGGGGGTTATTCCACGCCCCGACATTGAAGAACCTGCTCAAGGTCCCAGCGTTGGAGTTCAGACCTACAAGGTTGGACTGGCCGGCTCTAAAGCTTCCTGCCTTGGCCCCCCGCTCTGTGCACACCGCCTCCCCAACCACCCCCTCCTCACTTAACCCTGGTGCCCCCCCTTTCTGCCAAGGCTGGATGCAGAATGTTACTAGAAATTGCTAAGGCCGAGAGGGCCCTTTTTTTAGGGGTCCTCCAAACTGAGTGATGATCAGAATCATCTGGGGAATTAAAAAAAAAAAAAGAGTTTAGAATCCACATGTGTTGGAGTGGTGCTCGGAGGTACATCGTTAAACATTTCCCCATGATTCTGGTAACTAGCCACGGTTCCAGTCCTCTCTTTCATTTTCCAGTTGAGGACACTGAAGACCAGAGAGATGAGATGCCATAGCCAAGGCCCCTGGCCCTGTTGGAGCTGGGGTCAGGTCCAGAATCCAGCCTCTCAGCTCTTCGTTCCAGGTCCTGTGTGTCTTCTCACACTGCTTGTAAGGGGCTCCTTTGTTTCTACCCACTGGGACCCAAGGGAGGCCTTCACCACAGGCTGGTCTTGCTGCCCAAGGCCAGAAACTGGGGCCAAGTGGGGGGGTGGAGAAGGCAGGAAGCTTTTCCAGTCCATCCCCAGGGGCTCTCCCCTGGGCACAGGACTGGCAGGAGCCACCCATTACCAACGGGTCCCAGGGACAGGCTGCCTCAGCTCTGCATGTGGCTCAGCAGATCACCCCTGGGCTTGAGAAATGCAGCAAAATGAGGACTTTTTTTTTTTTTTTTTAAATCAATAGGGAAAGGGTGGTGGGAGGGACAGGTAATTCCAGGAAAGCTACTCATATTTTAGGGGGAGAATGCAATAAGAGACCTAGTACCGCATCACCCCCGTTGGTACCCTAAGTTGCACACATTTGTTTGTTCACCCATTCGTTCCGCAAATATTTATTGGACCCCCCGACCCCCGTGTGAGTTAGACACCGTAATAGGCGTTGTAGATAACTGTAAATTAGACAGACGTAGCCCCCCCCCCCGCCCCCATGGAGCTTAGACCTCTGCAGGGCTAAATAACTAGAACCACAGCCTTTATTGTCATTAACAGTAACGATGGTCATAGACATTTAATTTTCTCAACCATTCTGTCACAGGAGGAAACGAAAGCGGGGCGGGGGTAACCATCTAGCCCAGAGTCACAGCCTAAGTGATGGGATCTGGGTTCCATCCCTGTTTGCTCTGTGCCGCCTCCTGCCTGGTGCCCCTGCTTTTCATCAGGGGCAATTATAGGAAAAAGCCGGGGCGGGGGGTGGGGTGGGGGGAACTACGGAGCTTTCTTTGCTGTAAAATGTGAGCGATTTCAAGTGTTGTTGAGGATTTAGTGCCCTGGGTAGCCTCAGCAGTCCTGAGGAAGCGTGTGTGCCTCTTCCGGAGTGGACACTTTGCACTCCCATACTCGGTTCACTCTGGCCAGGAGCACCCGCCGAGCAGCGTCAGGTGCCCTCTAGGTTGACAAATTCCCTCTTTCTCCTTCCCTTGCTCATGTTTGCGTATAATGTATCCTCCATTATGAAGCCACCTCGAACACCTTTGGAAACATGTTAGAATAGAAAATAGTTCAACAAAAGGCACAGGGACAACTGACCCCATCCATTCCCACCTGGCATTCCCTGGAATGGGGACCCAGATGTGGGGCAGCTGCCTTGGGCTGGGCCAGGGGGCATTTTCACCGGAAAACAAAGGGTAAAGTGGTGAGTTGTTTTGTTGTGGTTTTTTTGAGAGAGTGGGGGAGGGGCAGAGGGAGAGGGACAAACAGGCTCCACGCCCAGCGCGGAGCCCAGGCAGGGCTGATCTCATAACCCTGAGATCATGACCTGAGCCGAAATCGAGTCAAGACGCTTAACCGACTGAGCCACCCAGGTGCCCCAAGTGGGGAGTTTTTAATAAAGCTAAATTTAATTTAAGGAACAGCTTTATAATCAGAGGTAGTCTTTGCTTTTTTTTTTTTTTTTTTGTGGCATTAAAAATGTCCTTTCATAGAAAATGGTCGTAATGGAGGGCAGTGGTGATTGTTGCTCATGTTGTTATTGTTTTATGGCCTTTCTTGGCAAAACGACAAGTTGCCAGTGATGTGCCCATTTTCTTTGTGGTTTTTACTAGCTGGGGACATCTGAAAATGACCATTAATTTTAAAAATTTATTTTTTAAAACTCAAGTGTCGTTAACATGCAGTGTTATATTAGTTTCAGGAGTACAACATAGTGATTCAAGACTTTCATACATCACCCAGTGCTAGTCACAGTAAGTGGGCTCTTAATCCCCATCACCCAGTTCACCCATCCCCCACTCCCTCCCCTCTGGCAAACACCAGTTTGTTCTCTGTAGTTAAGAGTCTTGTTTTGGGGCGCCTGGGTGGCTCAGTCGTTGAGCATCTGCCTTCGGCTCAGGTCATGGTCCCAGGGTCCTGGGATCGAGCCCCGTGTCGGGCTCCCTGCTCAGCGGGAAGCCTGCTTCTCCCTCTCCCACTCCCCCCTGCTGTGTTCCCTCTCTCGCTGTGTCTCTCTTTGTCAAATAAATAAATAAAATCTTTAAAAAAAAAAAAGTCTTGTTTGTTGTCTGTTTTTTTCTTTGTTTGTTCATTTGTTTCTTAGATTCCACATATGAGTGTTAATTTAGATCATTGGTTTTCACACTGTTCCTCTGAGCCCTGGAGTTGCTGGGTTGCTGGGGAGGGGGGTGGCATGTGTGTGTGGGGTGTCTGCCTCAGAGTGAGAAGAGAGCCCAGGGCCCTCCCCCCCCATTCTCAATTAGAAGAATTCTTCCATTTTATATATTAGCTTTGGGTATGATTTTGTTTGGTGGTAAAAGGGTATCCCTGCTCACGGTTGGAGACCCTCCCCTCTAGCCTGCGTGTGTTGAGGGGAGTGGAGGAGCACATGCTTGTTGCTTTTGCAGGACTGAGCCAAGGTGGGTCTTTCACCTGGCAGATACTATCTCCTGAACCAGTCAGGGTTCTCCAGAGAGACCAAGTCAGGAGGGAGAGAGAGAGAGAGAAAGAGAGAGAGAGAGAGAGAGAGAGAGAGAGAGAGAGTGTGTGTGTGTGTGTGTGTGTGTGTGTGTGTGTGTGTGTGTGTGTGTGTAGACCCACCATACCACACAGGGTAATCTGTTTCACTCAGGGTCTAATTTAATGATTTAAATGTTAATCTTATCTAAGAAATAACTCCATAGCAACATCTAGACTAGTGTTTGGTCATAGTTGGAGCCATTGTGGGTACCATGGTCTTGCTCCGTTGACACCTAGATTAACTGTATACCCACTTAAGTGCCCTGGTCATCTGACAGGGATGACAGATGGGGAAAGCTGAGCTTCTGCTTCGAGGAGGCAAGGCTCCACACAGGAAGAAATTAAGAACAGGACCATTTATGTGTAAGTGCTAACTTCTAAAGACAAAATGTAGAGAAGCTGTGGGATGAGGTCTGGAGGACGCCTGGGAGATTCCCAGTGGGGGCTGTAAAGGAGCATTCAGAACATGGAGGTCTCAGATAAGTGAGGACACAGACTTCAGGACGAGAGGGGCAACCACAGGTTAAGAATACTTCCAGTTGACTAGGCCTCTGAGTTTATTAAGGGTTTGTGACCATCCTGTTTTTTTAATTGGGGGGGTCCTGAGGTCCAGAGAGGTTAAGGGATTCCTCAGGGCTCACACAGCATGTGGGTACATCTTCCTATTTCATATCCTGCCCCCAACCATCCTTCCCCGCTGCTGGCCACAATGAAATCCATGCAAATGTGCGTATGTGAGGGGGGGAGTACTCCAGGAAGGAGGGAATCGGTGTTTTCCTCACCAAGAAATCCCGTGAAACTGAAAATGGACAGTTTGCTCTCCCTGTCTCCCTGAGTCTTTTTTTCCTCTTTACTATGCTTGTTAACTTCCACGTTTCTGTTTTCTTGCCCCCCCCGCCAGACACGAATGCAGAGTTTGAATCCAGATCCCAAAGCGCAGTACACAAGTGTCTACGGAGCCCTTAAGAAAATCATTCGGACTGAAGGCTTCTGGAGGCCCCTGCGAGGCCTCAACGTGATGATGATGGGCGCAGGGCCGGCCCACGCCATGTATTTTGCCTGCTATGAAAACATGAAAAGGACTTTAAATGCCGTTTTCCACCACCAAGGAAACAGCCACCTAGCCAACGGTATTTTGAAAGCGTTTGTCTGGAGTTAGAGAGCTCTCTCCTTCAACAGACCCTTCCCCAGGGTTCTCCTCCCTGTGACCCAGCAGCCTGACGCCTCATCTCCGCCGTGCTTGCTTACGAATAAAGAACTCTAGTCGTGTGTGCACACACACCCAAACACACACGCGCGTGCACACGCACACACACACACACACGCTTTTCTGTTCCCCTCCTTCGCTTTCTAAAGCCTGGGGGAAGTCGGTGACAGAGGTGTTTCAGTTTGCATTGTTGCGTGGGTTTTTCATTTTTTTTTTAAGACATTGAAAAGCAATTAATGATCAGATCTAGGAAAAAAAAAAAAAACAAACCCTGAATAGAAACAAAACTTTTAAATGCTGGATTCAAAAAAAAAAAAGTTATCTGGACAGCTTCTTTGAGACTATTTAAAAACTGGTTCAACAGGTCTCTGCAACGTCAAGATCTAACTAAGCTTTAAAAGGTCAAGAAGTTTTATGGCTGACAAAGGATTTGCTGCAGCGCAGGCCACCTTTCCCACCTTAAGCCTCTGGGGATCTGGGGGTTTCGCCCCCGTTCTCTTCCATTGGTCTCCGTTGCCTCTCTCAGCAAGCAAGGGCTGGAGTAGTTTTCCTTTGTTGTTCTGAGGGAGAGCGGCGGGAGGGGGCCTGGGTGGGCGGGTGGGCAGGCGGCTCCTACCTGCCCGGCTCAGTGGGCTCAGTGGGCTCAGTGGTGGCTCTTTCCCCATCTCCTGTGGGTTTTGCTTTTGTTGGTTTTTGTTTGGTCATGGAATAAGGCGTCCTTATTTTAACAAAACTAATTTTTCAACACGGAAGAGGGAGAGTGACCATCGACAGCTTTTACCCCTTCTTTTTGTGCTGAGAGAACCCAAAAGCATCCCTTCCACCAGCAAACCCTGGTAATAATAACTACCTGGCTGGTTTGCAGGCATTTATTTTGCTTTTTTTTTTTTTTTTTCAAATGGGCCCCTGGTTGCATTTGTCAAGACAGTCCCCAAGGGTCACACTCTGACGCTGTCCCCTGAGTCCGTGGCCTCGAGGTTTGCTTCTTGCTGAAACTGCCTTGTGTAATGGTTTAGTCCCTTGGTCACTGAACCCCTTGGAGGTGGTTGGACGGAACACAGTTCTGCCCAGCGCCGTTACTGCTTCGCGACGATGTATGCTGTGGTTGCATTTTGACCTTTCTGGTGGTAATCGTAAGTGTGTGTGGCGGGGGGAAGGGGGCTTTATATGCATTTCTGAAGCATTATCCTGGTATTGCTCATTCCTCCCACCTTCCGGGGCTAATCTTAATTGCTGGGCAGTGTCACCTGCCTAGGGAGGAAACCCAAAGCCAAAAGCAAAATTCCAGGCCTGAATTAGACTTCAGAGGTTCCTGGTTCTTGAAACCAGGCCAGATGTGAGCCTCAAGATGGGGTCTGCCATCTCTGAGATGAGTCATCGCTTTGCAGACCAACCCTGGAAATCTGCCATATGCAGAGCTTCCTGACGTCTGCTTCTCCTGCCTGTTTTCTCGAAAATGCCTGGATTTTATTAAGGATATTTCTTTTAAAACTTCTTTTCTTTTTCTCCCCTCTTAGCTGTATATATAATATCATCCCCTTTGCTTGCCCCAGCTCAAGGACAGAGTAAGTTAGTCTGTAGACAAAGGTGAGGGACAGGAGAGAATTAAAATCTGGACAGTTTTCCACTGGGAAAAGCCACGAAGTGTGGTTTCTGGGTACCATCAGGCATCAGCAGGTCTAACCTTTCCCAGCATTGACTACACATCTGCAGGATGAAAATGTGGCCAGTGGCGCCTATGTTATCGTCCTCATTTTTCTCAACAATTCCATCATAACTTTACGTTTTGAAGAGTCAATGCTCACCTGGGAGCAGCTGGGCATAGATTTTGCTTCTCAGAAAGCTCTGTGCGGGGTTCCATCTGATTTTCCGTTCCAGGAACTTCCTCAGAACTCCCGGTCGCGGAGGGTAATTTTCTGGAGTTTGTTTTGCAGGGATAGCTGGGAGTATGGCCACCCTGCTCCACGATGCGGTAATGAATCCAGCAGAAGGTAATGCTTCATGGTCCCAGGGAATGGCAGGAGGGGATGTGCGAAGGGGCAGCAAAAACAGTGGGGGGCGGTGGCGGGGTGGGGGGCGGAGACCGAAGGTTGGGCAAGGGGACTTCCGGCCCCTGGTCAGAATAAGCGGAATTCTTCACCACGTTAGCAAAGGCCTCGAAAAGGGGCTGAGCATTTGAGCTTCTGGCGTTCCTGTTCTCTTGAACAGAGAGTGGGACTGTGATCCTCGGACCAGCAGCATCAGCATCTCCTGGGAGCATGTTAGGAATGCTAATTCGAGTCCCACCCCGGACCTGCTAAATCGGAGTCTCTGGGGGGTAGAGACAGGGAATCTGTTTTAACAAGCTTCCTTGAGTAGTCTTTGGCACTCCTGTAAAACCTGTGTGTGTGTGTACATGTGCGTGCAGGCACATACACACTCACACGCACAGGCCTTTGTTAACCTTTATCAATCCCAGACAGATGTAGGGGGAAGCCGTCAGAGGCCGTTCATTAGGGCTTAGGTTCAATTTGCTTTTTTAAAAGAGAGTTGAAATTATTACGGACCATCTCAAACGTGCGCAGACATAGAGAGAAGAGTATTTGGAGTGCCGTGTGCGCCTCACTCTACTTGTGATTTAACGTTTGGCCATCTTGCCTTAGCCAGCCCCTCCCACATTATCTCTCTTTTTTTTAAATTATTATTTTGAATTTGGGGAACACTGGAAAACAGTTGTCAGCCGTGCAGATGTGAGTCCTTAGCCGACTCGGGTCCGTCCAGCGAGGAGCTTTGGGGCCTGGTACTGGGCGTCCTCGCAGCTGGGTTATTCTCGGTGTGACATGTAGGACTCTCTCCACCTTTCTCCCCAACTAAAAATTGGTCCCTTGCCAGAAGGGAAAATGAGAGGTAAAATGTCAACATTTCAAGTCTTTTGTTAGGAGTTTGTCTGTTTTTGTCTTTTAAGGTGAACATTTCTTATTTGCTTTCAGCTGCCTCCCAGCCCCTCGCAGACAGGGGACTTGTTCTGACCTTCAGGGACTTGATGGGTCAGGCTGGGAGAGGCGGGCTTTGTTTTTGTGTGTTTAAGGCAGTGCATCCAGGGACCTGGTCAGTGACCAGTTAGCCCATGTCAACCAAGCAAGAATTTTGTTTCTACTTTTCAAAGAGAAACAAGTGAGGTTCAACTCCCTCTCTTCTCTTTGACATACTGATTAAGGACTTCATTTCTCTAAGAGTAAAGCAAAGTGCACTGCATCTGTTCACTTGGCAGTGCGTGGGGACTATTACGACTCAAGCCTGAGGCCCCCGGTTGCCTCATAGCCTTTGAACCAGCAGTTACTTCTGTATTTTAAGCCAGGGTCTTCATTGGGGTGTGTCACTGAATTTGGGCTCACATAATTCCAGTGTTTCTTCCAAGAGTGCTGTGACATACAGAAGCTAAAAACGGCGTGTGCAGACCACATACAGAGAATGAAAGACGGGACACATGTGTAGCTGGGACGGTGGAGGGTAGAGAGATGGGGGGGCGGGATTTAGTTTTGCCGCAGGTGCAATGCTGGAGGCCTCCGGGATTTGGGGGATCAGATCACTGAATCTAGTCTGAAGTGGCTGCCTGGTTCGGGGGCTCCCTTACGCGGGCTGCAGGCAAGAGAAACCGAGCACCGGGTCCTGGGGTCACATCTGTAAACGGGAGAGCCCAGAGCTGGCGGCTCTGGATTCTCAGGCTGGGGCTGTGCGTGTGCTAGCTCTCTGGGACCTGTTACCAGTGTGTCTAAACTTGCTTGTTTCTCTTTATGGCTTGGCTGCCCATTTCACTGCGACCCGGGGTGGGGCCAAACCCAACCAACCACCTGCCCGACTGCCGGTGGCCCTGACCACAGTTGTGAAGCAGCGCATGCAGATGTACGACTCGCCGCACCGGTCAGCCCTCCGTTGCGTCTGGACAGTTTGGAGGACCGAGGGCTTGGGGGCCTTCTACCGGAGCTACACCACACAGCTGACCATGAACATTCCCTTCCAGTCCATCCACTTCATCACCTACGAGTTCCTGCAGGAGCAGGTCAACCCTCACCGGGGCTACAACCCACAGTCCCACATCATCTCGGGTGGGCTGGCCGGGGCCCTCGCCGCAGCCGCCACCACCCCCCTGGACGTCTGTAAGACCCTCCTCAACACTCAGGAGAACATGGCCCTCAACCTGGCCAACATCAGCGGCCGGCTGTCGGGCATGGCCAATGCCTTCAGGATGGTGTACCAGCTCAATGGCCTACCCGGCTATTTCAAAGGCATGCAGGCCCGTGTCATCTACCAGATGCCCTCCACGGCCATTTCCTGGTCTGTCTATGAGTTCTTCAAGTACTTTCTCACCAAGCACAAGCTGGAAAATCGAGCTCCGTACTAAAGGAACGGGCCATGGGCAGTGATTCCAGAATCTTTTATTTTAAAAAGGCTTTTTCCTGCCTGCTTCCATTCCCTTGACCTCACACCGAGGTTATGTTGGTGGGGTGTTGGCAGGGTGGGCCCTCTGCTCCCTGACGCCTCAGAGAGCAGGGACAATGGGACAGCCGCTGACCGGAAGGCCGTCCACAGGGACGTCTGAGGTGGCAGGTGGGGAAAGACTTTGGACGAGGAGTGAGGGATGGCTTTTGCTCTCCCTCCCCTGACAGGAATGTAGCTTTTCTGCCTCCCTGTAGCCGTCTCCTGCCCTACGATCGCAGCTCACAAGGGAGGGGAGAAGATGTGCAGTGACTGAAAGCATTAAAGAAAAAAAGAGAATTCTGTATATAAAAGTTCTAGTACACAGTACAAAATAGATGGATAATGTTTATCCTTTATTTTTCTATGTAGAAGTTTTTGGGCGTGTGTGTGTGTGTGTGTGCGCGCGCGCGTGTGCACGCCAGTGTGTGTGTGTGCGAATAAGTGGTACAGCTGGGAATATCAAGTTGTTTTGTTTTTTGTTTTTTAAAAAGATAAGAGGGCTGAATTCTTCCATTGGGTTAAGTGAAAAGGCACCAAAGTGATAAATTAGTGAATGTGGCCTAAGATTGTGTGGAGCCCCCAGATGGAAGTTTCACTTGAATGTAAAATAATAAAGTTTATATTTTGAATTTACGTTGCAAACAAAATCAAAATAATGATATATTACTCCTAGCTACTTTTTTTCTCCTTTTATCCAGTCAGTCACCTGCGTGTGCCTTTTCCTTTTGTCTTTACCGAAAATTCCAGGACCAAAGATCGGTCCTGGGGCATTTTCTCTTGCTGTAGGCACATACACATGCACACCTAATGGTGGCAGGATCGGTCACATTGGAGGATGGCGGCCGCCGGCAGGAGTGCAATGACTAGTCTTATTCCTGCTGACACCATTCCCTTCCTCCTTGTAAGGGATGCGGATGTCTGCCTTCCTGGGCCAGCACGCAGCAGCTCTTGAAATGCCAAGGTTTTGTTACTTGTTGAGCAGGCGATTGGGATAAATTCTCCCTAGAACTTATTTCTGCTTCAGCCTTTAACTCTGGCACCTCAGATATTCTTGTGTGTTGACTAAATCTGTTTCCCTGGGCTGTTTCAGGGATTTTTTAAAAAAAGCATAGCAAGTATGTCTATGGCACGTGCCCATCCCTCTGTCCACCATTAGTTCACCTGGCACGGAGCCTCTCACCTTGCAGTGACAGAGGCCAGGCCCTCAGGCCAAGCCCAGCCGCTGAAGTGAGACCCAGACGCTTGTGCACAAGTCAGGATGTCTCTCCAGAGCTATCGTCAGCCTCACTTAGCTGCACCAGCTGAGAACTCGAGGCCTAACTGCCTTGTTCTCTGAAATGGTGCATCTGAGCCCGATTATCACTAAGAAAATGCAAGCTTTTTTCCCCTGGCCACGCCCTTTGATTGGCTGCCAGGCATCTCCAAGGGAAGCCCAAATGGCTTCACAGTTTCCTTCTGGAGCCCTTTAAAAATGAGCAGGAAGCACATGTATGTTCAATCTGGTGGGGCTGGCCCTGACCTTCGGCCTTTGCCCTTTGCCCCTGACCTGCCCCATGGTCAATGTAGTGCACCTCTCCGAGGCTCAGACCCAGGCTCCTTTGGAGGCTATTCTTCCTGCCAAGAACTCCAGGTGGCACTGGAACAGGTTTCATCTTGGGACCCCGCACGCCGCCTTCAGGAGTCGTTTTGAGGTCAGAGACGGAAGGGTGCCATATCAGGCAGCTCCCATGTGTGCCCCATGAGAAGGACCTTGCTCCTGGGCTGGGAGGGCTCAGCTGCTGGCCTCTCTCACTTTGGAATGAACCACTCCGCACCCTCTGCCAGTTGGAAACCAGTTGTAGCAAGCCTCTGTCCTACCTGGGGTTGCAAAAAGCCCATGGAGAGAGACCCTGGTGCTCTGGGAAGTATTTACATCCTCTACTAAAACATGCTGTGTATTACTGGTACATTCTGCAAAAGGAAGAAAACTAGAGAGAGAATTCTAAAGTAATTACCCAACCACTCTTTCTCCTCCTCTTAAGATGTGCCACACTGCTGCAAAAAAAAAAAAAAAAAAAAAAAAAAAACCACAGGATTTTGTTTCTGATGGTATTCAGAAAAGAAACTGTTCACTTCTCTAGGAAAGCTCCTTTGGGTAAGCGATGCAAGAAGGAGAGGTGAGAAGGGGGTTTGAGAGCTCTGTGGACTGAGCTGGAAGGTCTGCCCACACTTTCCTCTCACCGCACAGATGGACTGGCCAGGAAATGGGGCGATGCACCTGTCCTGCCTTCCCCCCTGGACCTTCATGAGGCTGGATGAGCCATGTATCTGAGCGGGTTTTGAAAGTTGTGAAGCACTGAACAAATGTAAGTGGTCTTAATCTTGCGGGAATTGATTTTCCTCCTTGCTCTGGGCTCCAAAGTTTGTGTTGTTGCTTTGTGCAGACTATACAGTCCAGTTGTCAACTGTGACTTTGACATTGAGAAGTAACTAAATAGGAAAATGTTCTCGCCCCACCCCGGTGATGACCAGCTTAACATAATCATGGCACGTGCTTGGTCTTTCATGTGTTTGGGGTGACCTCTGCAGTAAGGCACACCCCTTGAGGACGGTGCTCCGTAACAGTGCATGTGCATACAGGCGTGAACTCTTATGCCCAGGCCATGATGTGAGATTCAGTCCCTTGGAGATCAGAGTTTTATTTTAGAATAGAAAATTGATTTTCCTCAGAGGTGATACAGCTTCAGTCCACGCCTATTTTTTCCTAACTTTGTATTGAATCTAGCTGTTTACTGGCCTACACCCTTCTGTGTGTTTTCTATTTCTGTTTCTTTTTTTTTCTTTAATGATGATGTCTTATTCCAAGCGCGGTCCTCCAAAGTCCCCCTAAAGCTGCATCTCCAACACATTGTTATGCCAATAAGGTTTTATTTAACTTTATTTAAGGATGATTGTGTCTGTTAAATGCGAATGGACTGCTGCTTCCTACCTGTAAGACGCACAATGTACAAGGGTGAGCAAGTGTTTCTTAATGGCCTGGGGCAAATAGCACAGTTGCTGCCTCCAGTTGTTGCCAGCTCTTTGGAACAGGGACAAATGTGTGTTTATGTGTGGGGATATCTCAGATTTGCTGCTACAGTTGTGACACTGGAGCTAGAGAAAATAAAGCCTTGATCTTTGAAGCGTTGTGGGCTCTGTGGTGGGAATATGAAAAAAGAGGAGAGTGGATGGAGAGAAGGAGTGTAATCCGTGGGGCTGGCGCCTAGTCTAGCCTTGCTCATGAAGAACCAGATCCATGACTGTGGTAGAAAGTGCCATGTCAGCTGTCAGAGATGGAGGCAGATCCCCACGTCAGGCAGCCCGGGGACGGTCACATTATCATACCTGGGCAAGGGCCAAGAGCCGCCTCTGGCTTTGCTCTCCACGAAGAGGGAGGGTGGCAGTTTTCCTTCCTAGTGCGGACGTGTGAGTGTGACGGGCTGCGAGTGTATGATATGCACAGCCCTGGTACCTGGGATGTGCCTGTTTCTCTCTCTCTCTCTCTCTCTCTCTCTCTCTCTCTCTCACACACACACACACACACACACACACACACACACCCCTCTTTGCAGAGGTTCAATCAGGGTCCCTCTTTATGGAAGGCCCAAGAGTGACCAGAATCCTCACATAGTTCCTAGATAACTAAACCTTTTCTGGAGATAGAAGAGGGGTGGAGGGAAGTGTCAGACCCCTTTGAAAAGCCAGGGACAAGTCTTGACTCTTCACATGGCGTGGAGGTCAGAGAACCTACCTGCAGCATCACCACCTAAGGCCTCAGTGAGGGTGGAGAGTCAAACTTGAGGCCAGGCCTGAGAACGAGCCATCGGCAAGGGTGGGGAAGAGGGATTAGAGAGTGCGGAAGGTTTGAGGTAAGCTCGCCCTGGCGTCATTTTACCAAAGGCCAACCCTGTGCTGCGCAAAGCTGACCTGTGGCTTGTGGTGGCTTCCGCTCCTCTGGGGTGGGTGGCAGGTATGGGAGGGCCTATTTTCAGTGCATACATACCCTCCCTGCCCTGCAGGCTGGAGTGCATCCGGTGAGCAGAGCACCCTGCCTGGTGTGGGGTGGGGGGTGGGGAGGGGTAGACAGCCCGGTATAAGCTGCGGTTCCCGCCCTGCCCGGCCTTCGACAGCCCACCAGGGGAATAGAAGAGAGGACGTGGAAGTAAAACAGTGACCTAATCCGTTAGACCAAACTCTACGACCATGACTGACTTGGCCCTCTTCCTCCCAGCCCCGGCCCCAGCCGTGGTGTGCCGGAGCCGGCCCCGCGCCCCACTCCCTGGAGCGGGCTGTGTGCATTGCTTCCCGGCTCCGTGTTCGGGACCGTCCTGTGGCGAGCTGGAAATCAGCAATGGCATGAATCTTCATACCATGGAAACAGGCAATTGCTGCAAGTCAGGGCTCTGTCTTACCAGCTTTTCAGCCCACCACTGCCGACACACAGCCCGGCACTTGGTACGTGGCAGGTGTCTGAAACGTGTACTTAGAGAAGGCGATGAGAGAAACTGGTCGTCTTCAACCTGCGCCCCTTCAAGTGAGTGCTGGCCCTCCCAGTTCCTCCTCGGGCAGAGGCCGTCTTCATCACTGACAACCCTCTCCCTCACGTCCACACTCAGATTCCAGCCCTAGGAAAGCCATGAAGGGCAGGGGCTCCCTCTCCTGCGGGGCCCAGCTCCCCTTTCTTTCTGAGTTCCCGGGAGGGACTTCAGTCCTGTCTGCAAGAGCAGCCTTAAGGACCGGACCTCTCAGAGAAGAATGTAACAAGGCCCAGAGGTGGACAAGAGGGAGACCCCAGCACCGGAAGGGAGTGGGGGTGGGCTAGTACTGCTCACAGGGGAGTAAAGCGTTGTCTTTGGTCTGAGGCAGAATGCAGGGGTGCGCCTAGGAGTAATGAGTGCAACTAGGGAGAACAGCTCGTTTGCAGCCGGCTGAGCTTTGTAGGAGGTGCCCTAGTGGTAAGCTGCAGATCGGAGCTTTGCCATCAGGAGGAGTGAGACCTTTAGTCAGTAGGTATCCGGGAGCCATTAAGGGTCTTGGAGCAGAGGACACCCTGAGCTCACTTTAGGAAGAGTCCTCCGGCAGAAGTGGACGGGATGGAGTGGAGAAGGAATTCCGCAGGGGCAGGAGATGGTCGCCTTGGTGCCACAGTGAAACTGCCCGGAAGAGGGATAATGATGGGGATGGGAAGGGTGGCCAGAACAGACTGCACGCAGCTGACGAGGGTGTAAAAGTGGCATCTACAGGGCGCGGGGGTGCATGACCGTAGGGCAAGATGAGAGCAGGGGCGGTGTCAAGGGGGAGACCTGGCCGGGAGGAATAGCAGCTGGTGCCTTGTCTCCACATCCATCTTCTAGTCCTGCTTCTCCTTGGGCATGAACAACACCAGAGCTTTGAGCTCTTGGCTTAGAGCTGCCTCCTTAGCTCCCCTCTTTTGGCTTCCATTTCCCTGTCCTCCTCCAGGCTGCGCATCTTGACCACCATCCCTGGCTCCCCCCACCAGCTTCAGTTCCTTTCTGGGTCACCTGGGGATGGCTGCTTGGGAAGCTTCTGCCTTTGGACCTCCTGTCCCTCCACCCCTTTCTGGTGCTGGTCGGCCTTCACAGCGTCAGTTGGCCTCTCTGGGAAGATGATTCCCAGACGTGGGATATAGCATCCCGACTTCTCTCCTGAGCTCCAGATCCACATGTCCAGGTGTCTGCTGGAGATCCCCCAGGTCTTAATAACCCTTGTCCCCTAGCCCCAAGAGACTCCCGCCCCCTGCTGCCAGAGGCCTACCATGCCACTCACTTGCTCAAAACTTTCAGGGGCTCTTCATTGCCAATTGAACTTAAGAATAGGCTTTCCTACGTAGGCCAGTGCCCAATTTAGCCTCCTGTGTGAAGGAATAAAGGGAAACAGGAGAGGAGAGCAGGGTGGATGGATGAGCTCCTAGGTCTCCATCTCCTGAACAGAGCAGTGCTGCCTTCTTTCCAGATCTTTGTTTAAAATTTTATTTTATTTAAATTCAATTAATTGACATATAGTATATTATTAGTTTCAGAGGTAGAGTTTAGTGATTCATCAGTTGTATATAACACCCAGTGCTCATCACATCACGTGCCCTCGTTAATGCCCATCCCCCAGTTACCCCATCCCCCTGCCCCACTCCAGCAACCCTCAGTTTGTTCCCGACAGTTAAGAGTCTCTTATGGTTTGTCTCCCTCTCTGATTTCATCTTGTTTTATTTTTCCCTCCCTTCCCTTAGCTCCTCTGTTTTGTTTCTTAAATTTCACATATGAGTGAAATCGTATGATAATTGTCTTTCTCTGACTGACTTATTTCACTCAGCGTAATACGCTCTAGTTCCATCCACATTGTTGCAGATGGTAAGATTTCATTTTCTGATGGCTGAGCAATATTCCATTGTGTGTATATAGCACATCTTCTCTATCCATTCCACTGTCGATGGACATCTGGGCTCTTTCCACAGTTTGGCTATCCGGATCTTTGTTCGCTGGAATGTCCTCCTCTCCCTCCTACCTACTACCACCTCCCCTCTCTGCCCATCAGAGTCCTATCTTTTAGGTGCCCTGAAGACAGCATATACTACTCCATTGCAGAGTTCTTCCTGACTCTCATATCAAATGTGATCTCTCTCTCTCATCAGTACCTGGCCTAGAGCCACTGAAGCCTACCTCACTTTGCATTTTGCTGCCATCTGTCCAGGATTTGTACCCCATGAGAACAGAAATTGCTGTTCATTCACTCTTCTCTCCACAGTGCCCCCCCAACTTTCCCTCATTCTGCATACGAGCAACAATCATTGTTAATTGTATTTAGCAAACTTCTGAAGTCCCCTTGAGTTTGGAATGCCTGTGGGACATCAGAGGTGGAGAGATCTACCCAGAAGGAATTACAGTATTGGTGATTGTTCATGAAAGCCAAAAGCTGGAAGCAAACTGGAAATCTATCCAGAAGTTGAATGATTTGTAGAACATCCGGGCTATCCCGGTGGTTTAGTGGCAAGGGAGGAAATTTCATGAGGGGTCTCCAGCCAGGCACCATATTT